CTCCACATCTGGCCCGATCAGGGTCAAGCACTCCTTGTAGCTACCTGGCACCGGCGTGCCCCAGTCGCCCACCAGCTGCGGCATCATGGAGTTCTCGTTCTTGCCCTTCACGTAGGCCGGGTACTCCCTCAGCAGTTCTTCAAACACAAGATATGACTGTCCAGAACCAAACACTCAGGAACTTGCTTGTTCATGTCCACAGGCTGCATGTGCTTTGGCAACTTGGCCAGTTCCTGCAGCAAGTCACAGCCACACGGAAAACACTCGAGCGCTCAGAGGGAGGCTGCCAGTGCCTGTTCGGCCCTCCGCGCCACGCGCCTCCTCCCCGAGCTGGAGGCCTGAAAGACACGGGACGTCTAGTCAGTCGAGTCTAGCACGTTCAGAAACGATCTCAAAGGAGTTTTCGGGCAGAGCCGCCAGAGCCACCACCGCTGCCGCACCAAGCGCTGCAGACCCACCAAGGAGCGTGGAGGGCGAGGAGGGCCCTTGCAGGACATGTGAAGCCACGCGACCTCGTTTCGCCACCTCTCCCGGTGTCTTCGGGGAGCCTTGTGGAGCTGGAGCTGAAGAGGCGAGCTGCGCCGTGGGCAAAGACTCACAAGCAGGCGGAATCGGAACTTGAGACATCCTAGAGCTTCTGCCAACACCCATTGCATGTCATCGGACCTTCGACGTGACGGGAGCAACGAAGGCGACCTGTGGCCAGAGCGATCCCTGCCCCTCACAAACAAGCAAACTTGCTAGTAAGCTGCTAGTATATATATATATATATATATGTCTAGATAGGGTCTCTCGGGCACCTCCATGTTTCGAAAGACTGCACGCCGTTGCCTATCTTTGCCCGCTCTGTGGCCTTGAGCCGCTACAATGTAGCCAACGTTCCCAAACCTCCATGGGACAGACCGCTACGGGCCAGGATCTCACGAAGGACGCTTTCTGAGCAGCAATGCTTCCAGATCCGAGTCTCACGGAACAAGACGTGTCACAACCCGGACTGGTGCCTGTTAAGCCTGGTGGAAAATCAAGCGATGTGCACGTCATTGACGTGCATTCGCACATAGTGAGATGCTCAGTAGTACGTGCCGTCGTCCTTGCCCTGGGCATC